AAGAGGGTAAGGCCACAAGCATATGACTGGCACAGGAACTGGATAATCCTATGGATCTCAAACATCTAGAGCTGCTAAGGCATTTTTTGAGGAAATATTTAAACTTCCACAATTGAAGATTTTAACAGTAGCAAACACAGTAAGATCCACGTAAGGGTCATACTTACACATTCCCGTGTATTAAAATTTTATCAAACCCTCATGTGAGACAGAATACTGAGCACACATATAATTTACTATGGTGCTTAACTTTTATACTTTCTTGCAAGTTTCTAAACTCATATGAGCAAGAAAAAGGAATTTTGAACTGTACCTTAGAAACTTATCTGCTTTTTAGAAGAACTTACTAGGAGCAGAGCAGGCAATCAGGCTTCACCATGATTCTGCACTTTAAATGGGAAGTAAAACAGCAAAACGCATCCTCTAGATAACACTTTCACCCCTATTTGCGTAACTACTGTGAAAAGCCAAAGAACATTTCGAGCTTCAGAGCAGATTTTGCCTACGTTTAGTTGTGTAAGCAACCAGCTTCCATAGGTTGTATGCAACTCCAAAAGTAGAACTTGAGACCGCTCACAAAACAGGAGAAAGTTTGAAGTCACACATGCAACAGCACAAAACGCACTTGTAGCTTCTTTGACAGTGATATTAGAGTACGTGCTTCAACCAACTCAATGCAAATCTGGCTAGAGTCAGAAATCTGTATTTCAACATGAATTATGATCAGAAAGAAATTTCAAATTTGTTAGATAGTTTCACCATGGTATGCTACACAGGTGCATTAGGTTTTGAAGGAGTGGAGATACCTACTTTAAACAACCAAGTGATTGATATGTACCTTCACCAGGCTGCTCTGACTTTTACTTTCTTGCAGGATTGGAGTCAAAGCAATTTGAGTAAGAAATCAAGAGTTTTCTACTTAACCCTTTGGCTAAGCAATCCAGGGTTGACCCATTTGGCTTCTGTTTTTCCTCCAAGTCTTCTGTAGTCACAGGCCAACAAAACCTAAAGCCTGAAAGATTCTGCAGAGAGAAAAGCTTTAAGTTTTCAAAATATTAGCTTGAAATTAAAAGATTAAGTTTTTGTAATGAAGTAACCAGATATTTCAAACAACTTTCCTTCAAGTTTAAAATAATGTGCTCTGTGAATGAATGTTTAAACAGAAGGTGAGCCGCAGGATGGAAAAGATGTCTTCGTTTCTGTGTGATTTTTCTGAAGATGACTGCGACAACAGTGCCAGCTCACAACCAGGAACATTTGCCCAAGAGTCTTTTCAAGATAATGCCTCCCACGCGTCAAAGAACAGAAGGAACATCTGGATAACAGAAGGTGGAAACAAGCTGCTATCACATGTACAAGGCCTGGCTCTAAAATGGCTCTCATAAGCCACCAGATAAAATTACGGTCAATGTTATCCTACTGCAGGACAGCAGTGCTACCGTACGCACTGCTAACACGTAGCACGCATACTTCTCCACCCCCATCTTCAAAAATACAGAGGCACTGAACAAGGTACCCATGACATCAGTGGGAGTTAAGTCTGTATTCTTCAACAAGCTTTGGATCTAACTGTATAAAGAATAATTAAAAACAATTTCATGAAACTAATGAAAAGAGTTAAAATATCTGTTCATTTTAATTTTATTTTCAAAGAGCTTCAGTCACAAAAATGATTTACAAGTCTATTTACAATTCTATTGTACAATTATTTATGTATGCCTCTTGACAACAGGGTACCATTCTAGAGCAGCAATACATATTTTAAATACAAAGATGTAGTATCATTTCAGATTTAAAAATAAAAAGGAAGCTGAGCTTCTAGAGAGTGCTGTAATGACGAGCCTTTTAATCTGTGTTAGGCTTGAGGAATTCATGACAAACTGAGTAGTTTCTGGTTCACATAATTATCAAACGAGCTGCAGTTTGTTGAAAATAGCTTTAAAAACCTGAAGCTTTACTGTATAAAATCAACATATTCAAGACTCTAAAAATTGTCAAAAACCCACAGCTTTCCCTTAGACATACAAAAGCCTAAGTTTACAATTCAGAATTTCATGGGAGAAATCCTACAGAACTTTAGCTCTCTCATTTTGTGATGACCAACATAAGCATTAAAAATTTGCAGCATAAAAAGGACTCCACATCTGCTTAGTATTATACTGTATACACATATACAGTACAGGATTATTTACCCAATTTGGGATGACTGTTCAGCACAACCTTCATGAAGAAAGAAAAAAATAAATAGAATTAAAAATCCAACAACTTTTTAAAAGTGCAACAGTAAGAATTTCCAATTTAAAGTTAGGACGAATATGGACAGTCAGTTCTGTGGGTGTTTTAGCCGCTTCTACTCAAGCATTATTCGCAGCATTTTCTTTACAGTAGATTTAGTTCTATAGTACATGAAACTAGAGTTACTGCTAATTGAATCTGAAGGGAAGAGGAAAAAAAACCAAACTTTAAAAATAACCCTGAGGGATATACAATTTCATGATCTTGCAATTTATTTCTCAAAAGTAACATTTATTATTTAGCAATTGCTTTTCTGGGTAGACCAGTCCTTTAAGTATGTGCATAAATAATATTTAAAAATCAGTAATATTTACAAATCCTAATATATCAAAGTAAAATACGTACAGATTGAAGTCTGCATACACAAATAATTTAATAATAAATAACTCCTCAATCTTTACAGTAGATTTAGTTCTATAGTACATGAAACTAGAGTTACTGCTAATTGAATCTGAAGGGAAGAGGAAAAAAAACCAAACTTTAAAAATAACCCTGAGGGATATACAATTTCATGATCTTGCAATTTATTTCTAAAAAGTAACATTTATTATTTAGCAATTGCTTTTCTGGGTAGACCAGTCCTTTAAGTATGTGCATAAATAATATTTAAAAATCAGTAATATTTACAAATCCTAATATATCAAAGTAAAATACATACAGATTGAAGTCTGCATACACAAATAATTTAATAATAAATCAAACTCCTCAATATAAGGCCAAAATATACAGCAGGAAGAAAACGTCTACCAAGTATCTAGTGGAGATCACTAAATTGGTCTGTTCACCTGAATTTAGACTTCCAAGATGAACATTAGAAGAGATTCTTTTCATTACAAACTGAATTTCATCTTGCTTCAAAGCAAAAACTGAATACGCTAGTGCAGATCTAGTTTGCTGCATTTCTGAAAACCAGAAAAACTAAACTGCTCAAAATGAGAAAAATTATAGGTGGCCAAACTCAGCTCTTGGGCAGGAAGGCATAAATCCCAATAATTGCAGAAGATGCAAAAGCTTATTTTGTGGCTGAACTTGCAACAAGAAGGATTCTCAGAAAAGCTGATTTATTATTCTTGACTAAGCATCAGGAGCAAATAGGTCAGAGCTCAAGCATGCAACCTCAAGAACATTTGCTAACTCTGAACGCATACCTTGAGGAAACCAGCTCCCGTTTGCAAAATATTCAAGTTTAAATAGGCTCATGACCCATTAGTCACTCAGTCAAGTGGAGACACTGGGCAATATCAGTTTTAGTAAGAGTTCCCTAAAATATTCTCCAAAGACAAGCCCACCTTAATAAGCTGTTTCCTCCTCACTTTCTAGGTAAGTCTAATAAACTAGAATAATATTGAAAGACTAGCTTCAGAAACCAAACAAGCCGAGAGAAATTATCAGTTTAGAGAAAGTATTAAGCAAAAGCATATAAAAGACACATAGATTTTCTTTCACTTCTGATGGAACAACCAAGCTAAAATGGTCAATGAAACGGAAAGCAAAAGCTTATGCATTTAAGGATAAGTCACAGCTCCCAGGTCCAATATGCATAGCTTCACAACATTTTTCAGCTAAAATATTATTTTTCTTTAAATTTGAATACTACTTACGCAGCTAAGAATTATTCTTCATCAATTATTCCATGCTACAAAGATTTTGTAAAATCAACATTGACAGAAATTAGCCAACTGACTCAAGTTCATGATTAATAAATTTATCCAAGTCCACAGTTGCAGACCCCTTAAAAGCTACTGATGTTGTTCGATGTTTGTGACCCTAAGAAGCCAGGATAATAAGACTTTTTCATTGCTCTGTTGAATGAATGTTAAGAAAACCACTTCCCCCTTCCTCCTGCTCCACCCCTCAAAAACAAACAACAAAAAAATCAGGAAAAGAGTTGACAGCTGGACTAGAGGATAGTACACTATGTGCATACTACTTATGAGGAGCAAGTGCTAATAACGTAAACCCCCAAGTTCTAGGAAAAAGTCTTCCAAACCATTTAGCACCACTTTTAAATTCCCTATTGGCACAGTATGTTCAACACTGCAGAAACCATAACATGAGCAGTGGGGGACACTGTCCATACTGCCTTACAGAACAGCACAAGGGAATTAGGCCCAATCTGAAAAATTCCCCTTATTAAAACAATGCTGGAATGGAATCGTCTCCACAGGAATTAAAAAAAAAACCAAAACCCAAAAAACAACAAAACCTCAAATTCCATCATCAGAATACACACAATTCAAACGGATTCCAGCCGGCCAGGGAGTTTGGGGCCCTCCTTCCACGACTACTCTAAAGGACCCGACTTCCTTCTCTAAAGGATCTCTACAGAATCGTGACTTCTCCAGATCCCCTCCGAAAGCTTGGAGATGTCTGAACCAGTCAGTTGCATCTGGTCAAAACAGACTGATCAAGAGTCGATATTTTTATCATCTTCCCAAAGATACCAAATAAGACTTTTCTGAAAGTTCAGCAAGTTGAAAATAGTTTGGAGATAAGTAATTTGTGGTTTAAAAAAAAAAAAGTTTGCTTTTTGCTTTGCACATGAAGACGATGCCTGCCTCTACATCTTTGCAGATCTATTTTTCTAGTGGTCTTGTGTTTTGACACCGCCTAATGGCAAAATGATGTATCGCTACCCCAAGTGCTTAAGCAGCATTATTGGTGATGCAAGCTTTTCTTTTTTTTTCTGTTTTTTCTTTTTTTAAATAAAATCCACATAAGCCTTATAGTTCTGCAGCAAGACAGTTTTTAGCTCATCTATTTTCTCTTAATTTTGTTTCATACAGCTACATATAGTGCTTAAGACACCGGCAGACTCTTTGAAATGCATATGTCCTTAACATGCACAAATCCCAAGCATGGGCATGTGAAAATATTCCTCCCTCACACCCCCATTTCCCTTGCAGCAGTAACTCTGGCCTTACTACTTCAAGGTATATAGGAAAATTGTCTTAAGATTTACAAATAAAACATGGTCCACAAAGGGATAATCCAACCCTTCTGCTAGAAAAAGCAACGTCTGTGGAGAAATGCATAGCTAAATGTAATAAAACATAAGACAGAAGAAAGTGTTAAGATTCTCCAGCCTTCCTTCTCCAAAAGCTTTAGAGTGTAGCCAAATGCCTCCTCCTCTGGAGGCCACCTGAGCCCTTCCTTCGGGTTAGCTAGAAAAGAAGCTAAGAACCCTCTTGAAAGCAATGTGCTTTCTTATAAAGGACAGAGCATATTGCTGCTATAGCATTCCCAATTCCTGCTGTGGCAGACTAAAGAATTAAAACTTAAGATCCAAACTTTACACCTGGAAACACTCCCTCCTTACTAGTAGGGACAAACTTAGAGGTACACACACCAAAACTTTAGAACCGTTTTGAGGCACAAAGCTTTTTAACAGTGAATATAAAAAAAAAAAAAAAAGCATGACAAGGTTATTATGTGCCTCTAGTACTACCATGAAATCATTACATCATAGGGTTTATGTGAACACGTGCCCAGGTAAGCAGGTTAGAACAACGATTAAGATACTCCAGGCAAATAAAGTGAACCTGTTTTAACTGCCCTGCAGTTTAAACCTTCAAATACATCTCATTTAGGAATAATGAAATTTGGAAGAAGGTGGAAGGAAACACAATCATTTTTGTTCTGCCTAAGGTAACCTACATTTTTAAAATTCATAGCCATAAGATGTCTGGCTCTGAACTTTGTATTCAGAGAGATAAAACAGTTGGAGATATCTGCATTGGAATTTGACATTTAGTATACTGCAATTTCAAATAAAGCCTTAAAATTACATTCTTCTGAATACTACTAAAAACACATGCCACCAAGATCCACCGTTACGTTACAGTGATGATTTGATATGAACCATTTTCTTGGGATGGTATTTTCGCTTCTGTTGTTGTTCTGGGTTTTGGTGGCCATTCTGGATCAACCAGCAGTTCCTGAGCTAGATGCATATACTTGGCTTTTGGTGTCTTCTCTCTACAACCAAACAGGGAAGAAAGGAAACAGACTCCACGGCGATCCACAGCCTCCTGCAGAAGTGAACAGATTTGAAAATTGGATTACCATAACAAAAAAATTAATACAACTAACAATACAGTAAGTCGCTAGAAAAAAAACTATTGTTTTAGTTTCTAATTGACTATTTCATTGTCACATTGGACCTAGAAAGTGTAGTACAGAAACTCTTCTGTTGTGTCATCTCTTCTATACTATGGTAGCAATGACATTTAAAAAACATTAAGAAAAACCAAGTATTCTGCAATGCCGTAACATCTAAGGTCACATTAAGAAAACTCAAGTATTCTGCATTATCGTAACATCTAAGGTCACCAACAGCCTTTATGCATATTTCATAATAGTTTCAATAAACGCAGGTATAACAGGCACCATTAAATGATGTTACTGTTGAAGAATAAAAGCCTGGTCTAGAAAAAGCAGTCAAATTCCCAGACTCTCAAAACTCTTTTTAAGCAATGAATTGTTTAACTGAAGGCAGGCAGCCAGCCAAAAGTGGCAGAATTTAACTTGCTGTTACTGTGAAACCTAAATCCTGCAGGTATTAATAGTTACTAGAACAGACACAAATTATTGAACTTAAGTCTTCCTTCCTATTTTTCCTCTCCCAGTCCTAAATGCATGTAACAGCTAGCTGGAGAAGAGAAACATCATTCCTCATTCTCAAGACTGGATCCCTTTCATGTCTCAGAGAGCACCTGTAGTCTGCAGGGCTAACATTTTAATGGATATATATTCTATGGTTTTCTTCATGCTCTGAATTTCTGTCAACTGGTGAACTAAACCAAACGTGAGCCTTAAGCACAACTTCCGTTCTTCAGTGAACACAAAGCAATTTTTTCTTGAATAGCCTCAAAAGGACAAATGTAAATCTGAAGTGAATACATTTAATAAAATTTAGTGCTGAGAAATAAACCATTGTAATTTTAACAGGAACAAACATACAACCAGCTAAAAGTAATAAGCCAACAGGCTTAAAAAAGAAAAAGCTTTTTTTTTTTTTCTTTAAACAGGAATTACATAGATTTCTTTCATGTGTTAATGACAGAGGGGCAGACCAGACCAAAATTTATGGTCACCTGAAAGGCAGAAGCAAAATCCTTCAGTCTCCAACCATCTGATGAAAGGCAGAAGCAAAATCCTTCAGTCTCCTAAACCATCTGAAGTAGTAAAACCGTACTTTCATTTCCCATTTTGTTTCATTTCATTTTATGTGCTATAAATTACTGCTCTCACAAGACAATGTTCTAAAACCCTAAACCAAATTAATTTAATAAAGAACTGTATTAGACCCAGCATCAGCAGTTCTGCTTCCAAGCAAATCAAGACGTTCTCCAGTCCTAGCATGCTAACTTGTGACAATGCAAGTAAAATTTGCTAATGTGCAAACTGAAGACAAAGTGAGAAAAGTCTTAAAAGCAATCCTCTGGGTTTGCTTCGCAGTTCTTGTATACAGAGCTAAATTCTTTAAGTGTCAACAAGGAGAAAAATGTAAAACCAGAAGCCTTTCCTTTTAACATTCAAGTGGCAGAAATCTAATTTAAACAGTCTTAAGCTTAAGATAAGGCAACAGACACTTATAGTTCATAAAAAAGACAAAACTGAATTAATCTGCATGCACTCAAATGATGACAGCAAAATACTAGTCTCCAACCTGAGGCGGCTGGGGTATGGTGAGGCGATATTCTCCTTGTTTGTCTCGATTGAACACAACCTTCCAAAGGATCATATCAAGGAGGACATTCTGTGAGACATTGCAGTGAGCAGGAAGAATTAAAGAAACTAATGATCATTTGTTGTTAGCGTGCACATTACAAATAAAACCTGAAATAGTGTGTTAGGCATAACTAATTCAGTGCCAGGCAAAATGGAGAGTTTACATTACTTGTCAGTACTTAAGTGATAAACATTTTCACTCTTAAGTGCTCACATGAGATTTAAGAATATGAACATGTACTTTAAAACAATAGAAACAATGACCAAAACTGCATCCATCGATACAGGTAAAAATCATAAATACACATTCTTAATGTGTTTCAATACTCTAAAAAACCTGTAAAGCACCGCAGACATGAGTGCTTTAAGCAGTTTCCCCTCAAACCGTCTTTAACATTATAGTGTACTTCATGCTGTAGCTACACTTTGTTCGTAGTTTGTTTTAAACCAGTGACATTCCCAGGAAAGCTTCAGTGGGGTGGCAAAGCTGAGCCACCAGCAGGAATTCCGAAGGAATTCCGTAGGAGCCGTTCCAGATTTTGGAAAGCAGGCTGAAGTTGAACAGTATGTTCAGTACATCTGGTTATTCTCATACGGCTGTGTGGGCGGACTCGAGAGCCTTGAACAAATCCGGCAACACAGGTGTGAACTTGTGTCTTCCATGGCCTTGAGCCTACCACTCTGATCTTTGGACAGGTTCCATTTCTAACATCTGACTAACCTCTGACACTGAGAAAGGGGAGCCAATTACCAGACTTTTATAATGGATTTTATAATGCTTATGATTTTATAATACACCAGAATTTTATAGTGCTTTTATAAAGCATTTGCCAACAAATCTTCAGCTTGTTAGATGTTAATTTTTGAAGCCAGTCTGGTTTAAGTATGTCTATACCCGGCATCGGGGTAAGGAGGAACATCTGCTAGGATCTGCCTTTGTTGTGCAGTATTTTCTATCATCTGGTAGAAAGACTATGCGTGCTTTGTGAACCTAGTCTGGCACCCACATGGAAGGAGCAAAAGCTTTACACAGCATTTCAGAAAACATGTTTGGGACAACCACAGTCAGAAATCATTCTTGTTGTAGAAGCAATTAAGAAACTACATATGATCATAGTGTGACACAAAAGTGTCAAACTGGCAAGCGTGACAAAAGAGGATAGATCTAATCCCTCGTGTATCTCATCATTATGAGACACTTAAAGAGGCAATTACGGAGGGATTAGTCTCAGCGGAACAAACTATAGGTGATATACCTACAGAGTACCTTGTTAAAAGAAATAAGGAGGTGCCACCAGAAGCTTTTCCTAGATACTCAGCATATGACCTGTGGTACCCAGTAATTCTGTAGTGAAAAGTGTAGCGAGCAGAAAATCCAGGCAGGCACACAGGGACAGAAGGGCAACGAGCTATACTGGAAGTGAAGGAATGAAATAGCCTGCGATTTCTACACAACACATTGGACCCAATGAGTTGGCACCACATGAAAAAGCTTCAGGGAGCCTAGAGTAATACTGCCGGAGTTGGACAAATACAGTTCAAAAGGTGGGACAAAGGCAGGTTGAAGTTATGGAAGGTGAAGCGTGTATCATAAAACAAGGTTTGGGATTTGAGGATCACTAGACAATGCTTCTGTTGGACACCTGCTGTACAGTGAGACAACTTATCTCTCTGTCTAAACAAAGCATTCAACTAAGTGAAAGTGGAAGAAATAGGTTTTAAGTCAAAGCAGAACATCCCAAACGATTAATGTCAAGAAAATTAAATTCTATAGTTACTTCTATTCCGCTACTAAAGTATGGGCAACAAGATAAATAGAAAAGTCTGGTTAAAAGGAATGTGACAAATCATCAGTTTTGGTAATGACAGTTAAGTGACTAAAGTGTTGAAAGATGCTAACTCACACCTGCACAGGAAGAAGAGTGGGTGGGGTTTGAAATACTGGGTGAAAGCAAACGCTCTACAGCAATTATATTGCTTAGGTTACGCTTACTAGAAACTCAGAAGTTTACAAACTGATGTGGCAACCAACAAGGCCCAGGAGTGGAACCTTATGAACGTTTAAACCAGAGAACCACTTGTCCTTGAGAGACACGTGCTGATACGTGGACTGACACACTGTACTAGAGCGTTTAGTGTCTACTAGAGTGTGCTAGAGCCCTTATGCTTCCAGAACAGAAACATCACCAGGTTGTGTAAAAGTTAGAAAGATCATCTGCAGAACAAAGTAATTTTTCAGCAGAAGCTAAGTTTAATTTATTTCTCTCAGTAAAGTATATCACTGGACTGAAAATTGTAACCGGCACCTATTTACACTCCATGTATCAACACAAAGCTCAATTCCAAGGAACAATCTTAGTGCTTCAAAAAAAGCTGATTTCCCAGAGATGGTAATAAAAACATCAAAACTGGCTAGAAAAAATAAACAGGAAAAAATATTTCTTTCTAGGAGGGTTGTTTTAAACTTATCAGAAGACAAAAGAGTCACGATTCTGCAGCTTCAAAATAACTATTTTGTTTCAGTAGCAAAGACAGCAATATACATAAAATAAAATGAAACTATTAAGAGTTTAGTAGTACAAAAAATGAAAGAATTAAAGGGAAAAATGGAAAACTCCATCACAAGCAGGGTTAGAGTAAATACAGGACAATGTAAGAAAGGCACAGGATCTTTAGGAGAGGATAAACTTATTAACAACAAGGAAAAGGCCAAAAAATTTAATATCTACTGCCGTGTTTTGGAAAAGTCAAGTTATCACCTATCATGTGAAAACACTGAAAAACATGTTCCAATAGGGAGCAACATAATCGCATATATTGCAAATTCTATTTGGAACAACATTTTGAACGCAAAGCCTTGATAATTTTGATTCAAGTAGCCAAAAAACTTGGTTGATTTTATTTCTACTAAGTTGCAAAAAAAAGGGAAAAAACTAGTCAACTGGAAAGAATATTAATGCTGTAGTAATCTTCAAAGGCCAAAATGGTATGATCCAAGCAAACATTACGCTGGTTACCTTGATAGCAATCCCTCACATAGTAATGGAAATACTGACTAGAAGCTGCAGAAAATGTTGTACAGTAAAAACATATAATTGTAGTGTGCAAGCGCTAGATAATGTTGAGAGGCTTTTTCTTCTTGCAGAAAAAAATAGTGACTAATGGCTGCAACCAAAACCCAAATGTATTCAGGTTGGAAATAAGGCATCAATTTAACAGGGAGAAGAACTAACCACAGGAATAAATGACTGGCTTTGAATCCAGACTCCTCCTGGAAGATGTATCGGTCAAACTCCAATTCTTGGAAAAAACATAGGGGTACCTGGATGAAAGGTAGGGCGTGTTTCTGCCCACATTAACTCTGGAATTACAGCAGAAGAGGTCAATATCCAGAGTGACTTGACTTTTTTCCAGCTCAGGGCTGGAAAAAGCTGATCTACATGAACATCTCTACTTCTGGACTTGGATCAGATTAGATGAACAAGTTATACAGACCTGCATTATTCTGAACAATAAACTATGTGTGTGATCAAACTGAATGAAGATGGGCTCCCCCTAAGGATTTTATATAGTTCTTTACTATGTTATGTTATTCTGAACTGAATTAACACAGCAAATAAATATGGAGAGTATTGTCCTGTGAAATAGTTGAAATAATTTATGTCTTTCAACTTTTCCCCCTCTTTTTTTTTATTAATAAAAAAGGTTTTAAAATTATGCTTTTAACACAGAAAACCTTGACACCTTAAATCTAGACTACAAGGACATTTTTAGGAATACAAACTTAACAAGAAAACAGTGGCCACTTAATGGGCATGCTGTGAAGAGAGACCTTCTAAACAAAAGACAAACAAGTACCCTGAAAAAAACCCACTTAGACAAGCATTTTTTCCATTTGAATTTCTTACCTCCGTCAGCACAGATGCAATTGCATTGAGAATAACAATGATGAGAATTCTTAGGCGCCACTCATATGGCACACACACGAGCTGTGAGAAAAAGTTGCCAGAGGTTAGCAACACACATATGAAGTAAACACACATTCAAAACAGGCTCAGAGTTATAAATTCTCTCTTCTCCCCTAGAGGTGCGAAGTTAAAGCTCTAAAGGGGTCAACCTTGCCCAAAAGGCAGCCAACCAGTTATCCCAGGAAGTACAGACGCCTGTATATCTGCTGAATCTTACCTCAAGAAATGTGTCAATAGATTCAACAGGATGCAACATGATGAAGAGTATGAAGACATAAAGAACTATCACAGATATAACAAACAGAACTGTAAAAGAAGAAAAAATATTTTCATTGGACCATCTCACAGTTTTAGACAGTTTTTCCATGTATCATGGGTTCATCACTCCCTGGAAATAACCTCTTTTCTCCCTCTAAACCCCTTCCAGGTGGATTTTGGCAATGCAAGTTGTGCTGATAGCCATAAAGAGACAGAAGGCCAGACTCAAATTACCACTGGCTCACTTGTGGAGCTGGAACGTATATACACATATACTTCTACAAACAAAGGAACTATTAACACAAATTTCTCCATACAGTTTAATACTTCCCTATTTCTATCTCTGATTATCAGAGGATAATTGTACTATGTTCCCCTAGCAACACTATTACTGCTGAAGTGGCACAACAGAACTGTAAGCAAGCCACGGATGAGTAAGCGCAGAGTCACTTCGAGTTTCACTTGTAACTGTATATAGTAAGAAAGGACTTACAATTTTTGTAGCACGGTTGTCTAAAGGGCTTTCCTTTAGAAAAGACAATTGCCACTATGAGGTACTGAAAGCTGGATATAAAAAACAAAGTTGTGTTTTCATAATTTTTAATGTAATGTTCATCATGAAGAGTCTCATTCCCATGGTGTGCATAGCTGGTGTTTGTGGCATCCGATATATTACATGCACTACAACACAAAAAAAACCCAAAACATTTAACACTGAGTTAAGGAGAAGATGCAAACAAGGCCTACTTATTAACAAAAGTAATGACAGAACAAATTGCTATAGTAGTTAAAAAAAAGCTTATCCTTGAAAACCTATTACAGGTAGTAAGAAAGGACTCAAAACTGTGTCAGGGACCTAGCAATTTTTGTGAATTCTGAGCTTCGAGTTCTTTTATGCTTCCAGCTTATAAGTTCACTACATGAACTGTTTAGAAGCTATCACTGTAAATACACTTTGAAGACAGGTAAGAAAATACTGCAATCTAAAAAAAAGATGAAAACACCTCTCCATTTTCAGAAATACGAATTTGATTTACTGGAGCTCTAACAGGAAAACAAAACTTTATAATATAGAATCATAGAATAGTTTGGGTTGGAAGGGACCTCTAAAGGTCATCTAGTCCACCCCCCCTGCCATGGGCAGGGACATCTTCAGCTAAATCAGGTTGCTCAGAGCCCCGTCCAACCTGACCTGGAATGTTTCCAGGGATGGGGCATCCACCACCTCTCTGGGCAACCTGTTCCAGTGCCTCA